CTCTCTCTCTCTCTCTCTCTCTCTCTCTCTCTCTCTCTCTCTCTCTTTCTCTCTCTTTCCGCAAGAATGCAAGAAAGAATAAAAAGATTTTTAGTACATTTTCGAACTAATCGTACTAAAATTATTTGCTTTGTAAATATGACAGTTGCAAAAATCGAATAAATAATTTATCTCTAAAACTACGAATTTTAATCTATTTATGACAGTAAATTGTAAACAATTTAATCGTTCTATCAACGAAATAAGTTTTTTCGTAACTGGAAACGCCCTTCTTGTAAGTAAAGCGTACAGGTCCTTACTTTCCCGTTCGTTCTACACACCCATCTGTAGTAAAGAGATAAATGTTATCATACAGAGCCGATGATATCAGTATCTGTTATCGCGACCTGTTACTTGAATCCGAGTTTAGTCCCATTGTGCGTATTAAAGTAATTAGTCGGTACACCACCGCGCTTCACGAAAATGCGATCTCGAGCGTCGTGGAAAGAGCTCGATTGCATTTTCACATCATTAAAATGGATCTTTGTTCTTATTTGTCTTCTCTCATTAACACTACGTAGCGTTATCGCGCAAAATGAAAGTGAAACGTTCGAAAGTGCATTTGGATTGAATTTACTTGAGTCAAATGAAAATTTAAGTACGGAGGAGAATGTCGGTTTGCCATCGCAAACGAAGGAGATTCCTCTAGAGGCTGAAGATCTTGCTGTAGAGGAAAAAGATTTAGCGCCCGTTGAAAAGAAAAACAATGTAGAAAATTCGGTGCAAGTTTTGACAGAAAATGCTTTTGCAGTAAAAGGCGAATCCGGGGTAGATTCGCCCACTGTTCAAATAGCTTCCGGTAGAGCAACGAACGAAAAGAATGGGAAATATGTAAGATACGGTAAGTAAAACGTTATCAGTGGGCGTGACCATCGTTTCATAATCAGTATAGTATTAAGCAACAATATAGTTGCGAAATTTCATTTTCCATCAATTTCTCTTTTGAAACGATTGCATTTTTCCTGAGTTGCCCTATTTCTGAAACGGTCATTTAAAATAATCTAACACGAGTCTAAAACATATTCTAAAATTCTTATGTATTTTTACACCTTACGCACTATAAAAGAAAATCCATATCACTGCGCTTATCACATAGCGTGTTTATCAGTTACTCACTTTAACGTGAATCGAGGATGATTCATTGGATGAGACGAACCATTTTGATAAATCATAAACCTGTATAGATTAATGATATAAATAAAGATTGGTTTTTATTACCACACAGATGCATTAATTATTTATTATATTTATTCTTAAAATTGCAATAATATAAGAAATTACATACGTAGTATGATTAGGGATGTCTTGTTTAAACAAAAATTTACGAAACATTGACAATAATCGTTTAATAGATATTATTTAATATTGTGCAATAAGTGATCGATCCCCTCTTTCGGTGCATACTTACAGATTCGGATTCACCTGACGCTAATAGGTACGCGCCTCTCCCAGATGATAATCCACCGTTTTATGAATTACCAAGAGATAGATTGGAAAAAATTCGATCTGAATTCATGTACTGGTACTTCGATAAAGGTGGTACCGATGATATGGGCGATTACCAATCAGCTCTGCAAGCGACAAATCTACAGATTCATAAGAACTTGAATTTCCAATTGCCTTTCTTTGGCTTTAGATTTAACTATACAAGAGTACGATCACTTTTATAATTATTTATATAATTTATAGTAATATAAATGCTTGCTTAATATTTGCATATGTTAATTTAAAATCTGGATTCATTAATCGAATATCTCAACGTCGGTATCCTTTGATAAAGAAATAAAAATTGGAATGTCAAATGTAAGATGAGAGTGACAGCAGCGTAATAAAAGTCGAACATTGAGATAATGAAATATAAAAGAAAAATGTACGTTTCTTTTTCGTTGTCTTAATTTTCGCTTCCTAAAAGTTTTGTTTTTATACTTCTATCACTCTCCCCTTACATTACTTACATTTCAGTCTTCATTTCTATTGGATGTTTTATCCTTACGCGGAGTTATTAAAAAAGAGACAAATAAAAATTGGTTCTCTGCTCTGAATATTATTAAATGAGATGTAACGTTTCACAGTTAACTGTTAATGGGTACTTGGAATTTAGCGATCCACCGGAGCATCTTACATATCCTCTTGTCTTTCCCGTTAAAGATTGGCCTAAAAAGAATGATCCTGCTTTCATCGGTATTTTCTTCAGTAAATGTCGCATAGGAATGTTAAGAGAAAATGATATTGATCGTAGAAAACCGGGAGTGTATTTTAGGTATGGATATAAAGTTTAAAAATTAGCGCACCATTCTGAAAATTTTTCAGTGAGAAATGACCATCAATGCGATGTTGAATCAACGTTGAATTGATGATTTCGATGACCATTTGACATCGATTTGATATCAAATCGACGATTATTTCTCACTGGAGATTTTACTATTTTATACGTGGATCTTCAAAAAAGCTAAAAAAATTGACGAAAAATAATTTTTATAATAGGCTTGAGAGGGATTTACAAGCAAGGTCCGATCAGTTCGGCGTAGAAATGCGAGAGCGTGTCATGTGGGACATCCGTGAGGGTGTTGTCGGTGCCGATTCATTCGTGCCCAAACACGCTCTTATCGCAACATGGAAAAATATGTCCTTCACAGGTGGTATCGACCTGTCTCTTCATACAACTAACACGTTTCAGCTGGTTTTGGCTACTGATGAAGTTTTCACTTATGCTATATTTAATTACCTCAACATTAAATGGACGAGTCATACCGAAGCGGGCGGTGATACAACACAAGGCGAGAATGGAGTCGCTGCATTTGTAAGCACAATCGCGGAATAAGGATAAATTTTATATCAATATTAATAAGAGGCTCAATTATTATAGATAATAAAAAAATATATTTCTTATAAGAGCCACGAGTCATCTATGATCCATCTGATAAAACATAAATTTACTTGCAAAACTCATTCATCATAGGTGGGATTTAATGCTGGAAACGGTACTCAGAGCTACGAGTATAAGCCTTATTCTCAGGCGACCACGATCCGTGATTTAACAAGCCGCGGCTGGGCCAATGGTTTTCCAGGACGCCACATTTTTAGGATAGACGAAAAAATAATGCTAGGCACCTGCAATAAAGACATTGGTAAAAGAACAATTGCTTTTAATAATTACTGGTTAAAGAATAATGATTTTCACTGCGCGATGATGCACAGCCGGAGCTCACCTGCCGCTGGTTTTCGCCCCGGAATCAGGAAACATGTTAGGAGGCACTGTAGTCAACATTACCGGACCGTGTTTTAACGAGAGTCAAAAAATCAAGTGCCGTTTCGAAAACGAAGTAGTGATGGGCACGGTAGTAGACAGAAATCGCGCGATTTGCGTACAACCGTTCTTGAAGTACGAAGGCTACATACGTTTCTATATCGCCATCGATAGTGGCACTTACGATTGGAAAGGAAAATATTTCGTCGGTAAGATCTCTCTCTCTCTCTCTCTCTCTCTCTCTCTCTCTCATTACAATCATTTATTACTCGCAATCTTGCATTTGAAAAAACATGTATGTGAATTTCATATTACGCGGTATTTATATGATTCTCACTATATAAAGACTAGCATAATGTGAATTTAACACCATACTGTGAGCCATGATATTAAATCCATACCGACGTTTATATCAACGATGAGAATATATTTAAGATTCATGATGTTAAATACACACTCCATATTTTTTTTAAGTGTGTATATACGTTTCTTCGACTATATTAATCATGTGATAGAGAAGTAATAGCGTTTCTATTATCTGCAAAAAAATTGTGTAAAACTTTCGCTCATAGAAACTCCAGCAACGGCGACGGAAAGGATTTTCTTTATTGATAAGGAGTCCGTTCATTTAAAGAATCCGGCGCAAATAAAAATCACATGGAACGCGTATAATTTAACTACAAACTTAGGAGCAGGGATCCAGATATCCTTATGGGGATACAGAGAGACTAAGACAACACCCGAGTTTGAATACATAACGGTTTTGGAGGTTTGTATGAGACAATCCGAAACAGCGAAAAGGTGAAATAGCAGTCAGTTAAGTTGTTTTATACATTTCAGAGATCGTATACCAATACTGGTAATTATGCCATCCAACCAGCCAAATACAAAGACGAGTACAATCCATATCATACAGATATGGTGTTTGGCTTCATTCAAATTAACTTAACTGAACCGCATTTATACTCCGGACTGTCGATAACACCGTAAGTTTATCAAGATAAAATATTTACATTTTAATGGTTGGTATCCGAGATCACGCGTTTGAAGATTTTAATTTTATATAGGAGCCTATGGAGCAGACCGATTCCGCTCGGTTGGTACTTCGCGCCTCAATGGGAACGGCAATACGGATCGAAATGGGCTGGGAAAATCTGTGACAGGTGGATTATGCATGATCGATATCTTAAAAACTTTGCCGCCGAAGTGGCACTTTGCCCTTGCATCCTAGATCACGCTTTGTATGACAAAGGTCGTTTTCTTCCGGATTACAATTGCGACAAAGATTCAAATATAGATTGCTATTATAATCAACGCGCGACTCACTGTGTGAGATCAGGTGCGCCCAAGTAAGTAATCTTCCTGTTTGGAGAAACAGTTTATCTATTTTTACAGTTAGTTTTTAAGTTTGATTTAAAAATATTAATTTTTTATATTTGTGTCACTTTTTTTAACGATATGGCAACTAATATTGACTTCTCGGATAATCATTTATTTATAAATCACAATAAAGCACTACTCATACAACAATTTATAACATATAAACTCTTGGTACACCACTTACTCCTGCTTATTTTAGTCTGGACGGTTCGGAGCAACAATGTTGTTACGATAAAAATGGATTTCTTATGCTGTCTTATGATCAGCAATGGGGATCGCGACCCCATCGATCTCACAATTTGGGCTTCTTCCCATGGAATGAGGCTAACAAGGTCCCGACTCTCTCACAGTGGTGGCACGATGTAGTGCCTATGTATGCATGTTGTCTCTGGCAGGAAGAACAGGCTGTTGGTTGCGAGACGTTTCGATTTGAAAGAAGACCGACGCAGGATTGCATTGCCTATCAATCACCGGGGGTGTCAGCGGTATTCGGTGATCCTCACTTCGTCACGTTTGATGGCGTGGAGTACACCTTTAATGGTAAAGGCGAGTTCGTTCTGCTACGAGTGAACGATATCAGAGATAAACTCGATATACAAGGTAGATTTGAACAAATGCCAAAGAATATCCATGGTGACGTAATGGCAACGCATCTTACCTCGGTAGTAGGTGAGTTCTGTTATTCTACTACATGAAAATTTCCTGTTAGCAACTTACCGATCTCCAGATTGCCCTCTTAACCCTTCGAATCTGGTAATGGATCTATTTGACTTTATTTAATCATACTCTTTGTGTTACATCTGCAAATTTAAAATATTGCTATTAAAATAAAAACCATATAGTGTTCTCTCTCTAAAAACATAAACTATGTTATTAAAATAAATTTAGTATTCATATACACGCACACATTTTTCGAATACTTATTACATTATTTTTATTTTATAAAATTAATTAACGCTTTTTAGTTAACATATAATTAATCAAATGGATCTCATAGATTCCGCATCGGTGACTATGTTATTGATTTTGACATCATCTTTGGAGGGTTGAAGTAATCTTTTGGCCTCCGTCTAACATTAATATATTGCCATTTTATTAATAATAATGATACGATGATAATTAATGCGTTATATGTCTTACAGTGAGGGGAAATAATTCCGCTACCATCGAAGTTCGTTTGAGACCCAAGCATGCGCAATGGCGATATCGGCTTGATGTCTTCGCAGATGGTCAAAGAATATACTTCGATAGACCAGCCTTAAAATTCCAACATTTCCCCGGGGTCGTCGTTTACACTCCCACATATATTTTGAATCAGAGCGAAGTTATTGTTATGCTCGACACTGGTGCTGGTGTAGAAGTCGTTGAGAACGAAGGTTTCTTATGCGCTCGGACGTATCTACCATGGACATATGTGGTAAGAAGAGAATGATTTCTTTTCTATTACACATGTTTGAGGATTGAAACTAATATACTTATAAATGTACATAAGTAAAATTTATACATAGAGTATAAGTATAATATTTTTTTTAAGCTAAACTTTTTGTACTATTCATTTTTTGTTTTTTTTCAACGTAGAAAGAAAAAAAGAGAGATAAACTATGCAAAATTTTCAGCTAAAAAGAACAAGTCTATTAGTTATTCCAAATCTATATTTATTGGATATTGTAGAACAAAATTTTTTTTGTAGAATAAAACTACGGGACTTTTTGGTGTTTGGAATTTTGATCCCCTAGACGATTTGACAAATCCGCAAGGATATCAAGTCCCAATCAACAGTGTAAATCATTCAGAGACTGTTCATACAGATTTTGCAATACAGTGGATGTTAGAAGACAAAGAGAATAAACTGTTAGGAGCGGCTTTATTTCACAGGGAATTTGGTAGAACGGCGAGTTATTATGCTAATCGCACATTCAAGCCGGAATTTCGAAAATATCCATCAGAGATACTCCCAGTAAATAGGACGTATGATGTAAACCGCGCGATTGATCTATGCGGTGATTCATATCAGTGTCAGTACGATTACGTTATGACGTTGAATCGAGATTTAGCGCATTTTACTCGCAATTACTACGACAGCTATACTCAAATCCGAGCGTTGAACAATAAAGAAAGTAAGTAAACCTGAAACAGTTTTCAAGTATTACAATAACTCTAAACTTAAATTGAATATTTAAACATATTCATCATCACATCATTGGCTCGGCAACCCTTTATGGGTCTTGTGGTCTGTTCAAATCGTCACCACACAAGTGTGGGCTCATGTGGGATTGAACTCGGATCTAACAGATCGCGAGTCAATCGCACCGAGCGGTGAACCATTCGACGCCTCATTTAAATATATTACATATTATAAAAACTTGTTTATCGTATGCTTATATTATATACTTATGTATTTTTTATTTTCAAGTTGTATCCTGCGGTATATTGGAGACACCACGTTTCGGACGTAAAAGTAATTTCCTATTTGTCCCGGGAACGAAAGTGAGTTTCGAATGTAACCAGGATTTCATACTAATTGGTGATCAACGTCGAGTATGTACACCGGAAGGTCGATGGAACGTTCCGGAATACGGATACACGGAATGCCTTCGTGAGTATATATTTGCATTATACTTAACGCATCAGTTTCTCACTGCAATCTCATCGTACCTGCTACATGATCTTAAATGAGGTACAAGAATAAAGAATGCAACAAGATATAAAGTAAAAGAAAATATTTATCGATAGCGCATTTATCAGACTGATTAACTCGAGACGAAATTCAAATTTTATTAATTAGTTTTAAAAATTAAATCAAGTCTGATCTTACAGTAATTAATGAATTATCTGTTTTTGCCGATGCTAATAGAAATGCTAACATAAATAATCCTGTTGAACAATTGGCACGATTTTTGTAGCTCTCCTTTTTTCCCTTTATTTTCTTGATGTATTTCTCAATGTGATCTCTTTTCCTATTTCCTCCGACGTAATTTTCAAATTAATATTTCTTCCATTCTCGTGCTACAATTGATACGCTTGTTATAATGTAAATATAGGTCAAATCGAGTACGCTCAGCGTACAGCGTGGACCGTAATGGGCATTATTTGCGCCGTGTTAATACCCGTGGTGGCCTGCATCGCCGGTGGCTTTATTTATATGAGAAGGAGTCGATCGCGGGGAGGTTCGATGAAATCTTGGCGTTATTCCGAGCGTGATTCTGGTATCGACAATGAATCCACGTTGAAACAGAACGCGCTAAAGTCGTACGATGATAGGGCCATTACTCCAATTAGCGACACTAGCACAATTGAAACTAATAGCGGCACTAGAAAGCGCCGTAGTTACGACAGAGTGTACCGTACCCATGAACCCCTACCCAATAGACCGGACATTGACTTCGAGGATAAAGAATGGGATTTGAAGGACCCTATCTCACCCGCAGGGTCAGATTCGGGCACGGACACGATTAGAAAAACAGGCAGTCCTTCGAAAGAGAGCGACGTTTAAATTATAAGAGATATTTATCTCTTATGTCAGTAGAAATATGCAATGTACTGAAAACAATTTTTTCTAATTCTATCAATGTAGATTAACTTATAATACTTACTCTCGGTTTAACTTACTCTGTAATGTTATAATTTTTGGAACTAGAAAAAGAAAAAAGTAAGTTAAACCAAGATTAAAGTCAAAATCTATAGTAGTAGAAACGGGTATTAGTAGTAAATATAGTATACAGTTGCAGTAAAAATGATATATTCTATTCAGAAATTGCTGTATTTCCACGCATCATTTTGAGTCAATATGTATGTGTGTATCAGACCATGACAATATACATTGTATATCTTGATTCCAGTTTCAAGTAACATACATCTTGGACATACTTATACATGTAAGAATGTCTGTTGTACACACGTGAAAAATTAATATACCTGTAAAAGTTAAAAGATCGAAGTTAAACAAACAAAAATACGTGTCAAATTAATGAAACGTGTGTATTTAATAAAATTAAATAGAATGTTTTGGCTTTGTGTGTGTTAAGCCCTCTTCAACTGTTGCAAATATATTTACCCAATCAAATACAATATTAAAACTGATAAACATTTTTTTCAGCTGTAGGTTGTATATTTTTACGACAGTATTGTTTTATATGAAAATTTTTTTATTTTATTTTAATTGTATTCGATTGGTCGAATGTTTGTAACGGCTGAAAAAAGTGTGTTAAGCCAAATCGTACCGGTTCATTAAATACATAAGTTTTATTATTAATTTGCCATCCATTTATTTGTTTGTTTAATTTTAACCTTTTTAATTTCATATATTTAATACGAGTTATTTTCGCTCTTAATATTAATATATTTGTGACAACATACCATATTATAGCTATTATTGTATGTATATATATGTGTATATATATATATATATATATCGATCGAAAAATTAATTTGATGCGCGACTGATTAAAATCTAGCATAAAAATAACTGTTGATAATTTTTTTTCTTTTTAGAAGGGTAAGATAATATTTCAAATACGTTATATCCGTTATCAGTCGACATTTTAGTATTTTGTAAATAATAGAGATACTACATATCTGTACTGTTCTTGCTGTGGAATAGAAATACAGTATTAACTGTATTCAAAATATACTTTTTATATCACCTATACGTATATGCATAACAATAATTAGTTAGCATAATAGATTACGTGGTTCTAAAAGCAATGGCAACTAAATGCAGTAGCAACTATTTAATTGTATCATCGGTTTATATAATTGCAACGATAGTATTTAATTACAATTTAATCGCACATATTTGTGTTCACGTATTGTAAATGATTCTTAATAAAATTTTATACATCATTAAATAAAATGACGGGAAATTTCTATTCCACATGCATGCGCAGAGTTTAAGTTAACAAAAAAAAAGTATGTGATTTACATTATACTATAATGCAACATTAGAACAGCATTTGAATGGAATGGAAATTTCTACCAGAGTTGTAAATTTTTCCTGTCACAAGGTATTTCTTTGTCCTCTCCTTCTTTTACTTAAATATTTTATTCGATGTATTATTACAAAAAATTAATTTAATCATAATAATGCTCTATTATACAACATATAAACGGGATTAGAATTGCAATTAGAAATTTATTATAAACTTTATCATTTTGTAATGCGAAATATTCATGAGATTTTATAATAAACTGGCTTGGATAATTTTAAATATATTATATTTTGAGATAATCTCTCTTCTCTTTCTCTCTATGTGTCCCTCTCTTTCTCTAATAGAAAGAGATTAAAGTTAAGCATTCTAAAATGATGGCATATGCTGATTGCGTATACCATTTTTGTGTATTCCGTTTAAAAATATTTTTCTTCTATTATATATACATATTATTACAGAGAAAGTTATCACAAAAAATTTCTTTTATTACATCTTATGTCAGAAAAACAATACGTCATCCCGTCCTATGATTCTTTATAAAATTCTATCATTATTTGAGTCCTTTTGAGGACGAAATGTAAATTATTTCCTTTTTTAGATTAAAAAATTTTTGCAATTATTTGATTACTTGTCTTTTATACGTTCATGTAGTACAATGTACGATGTGTTTCATTATGCACACCGCAGGTCAGCAGGAATATAGCTCTCGTCAAGCAGGCATTACCAGCGGCATAGTGCTAGCTTGCCTGGTCCCTATTCTATTGATAGTCATTTGCGTTGGATATCGAGCTCTTAAGAGCCGCAAGAAAGAACGAAAACAAGAGGAGGCCTTAGAAAGGTATCGAATTTATTTCGTTAATTCCGAAGTGAATCTTGTATGTACATGATCGTAACAAAAACGCTATGATATATTTCAGGACGCGGCAAGCAGAACTGCAACGGATGCGTAAGATCAACGAGGACGAGGAGTCTATCATCTACAGTCCAAGTAAAGCTACAGAAATAAATTAGAGGAAATTTTGTGTCAAATTTTTAGAAATGTAGAACTTTTGTACGTTATTCATATATCATTCCACATTATTTACTTCTGATTCACCAATTCTCACTCGGTGGGACATTATGTCATACTTTTTATTTAAGTGCATGTTTACAAAAAACTACACCTAAGGCGACAACATAAGACTATATAGAGTTTTCTTTTTCTTTATTTTTTTTATAAATCTATTATAGTCTGCATTATATGTAAGTCTGCATGACGATAAAAGAAAACACCACTGTCTTCTTTCTTTAAATTAAGCATACTTACAAACCAATCAAATTTTAAAGACAATAATGAATTAGAATAAGAAGAATCTTTTTTTTTTTTAAACTGCCCGAGTTGTGAATGATGTTCCGTCTCATCTATTGCACTATTTATGCTGCAGGCAGGATTTATGAATTTATTCGGAAATTGTTGATAAATGTAATTGCAAGGGCAATATTAAAGTGCAAAAAGTAACAAAGTAATATAACATCAATATGATACATACATTAAAATAAATTATAATTGGTTGATAAGTGAATTTTAATAATCAAATTGCGAGCAGCTATTTTGACATTATCTTATGGTAAGACCACATATAAGATGGCATTAAAAAGAAATAATTTAATAATACGAACAGCTTTGTTTTAAGAATACGGTGCAACAAAACAAAAATTTGATATTAATTTAAAGAAATTCTGATTTTCGATTTAAAGATGTTATTTTCTTGATATTTCTTTTTTTTTGATAACATTTTTTTAATAATTATAATAATATAATTATTATTAAATAATGAGAATATTTTTTTTTAATTTAATTGCGTAAAATATCTTTACGTAAATAAGTTATTATATGTTAGTCAAACGTTATATAATCTTATTTTAAGAATTAAATTTTAAAAATAAAGATATTACCAAATATAAGATTATTTTTTACTCTTCTGTGTGTTTTAATAATTTAGAATTTTATTAAAAATATATATAACAAAAGAAAGTTATATAATCTGTTGGTTACATAATGTATTTAATATACACATACTAACTGTATATTACTAATATCAACTAATATGTTTATATTTTCTAATAAGAGTCGTGTCCTTCTTTGACCTCTTAGTTATATTAATGCAGTTTTGCACAGAAGTCTAACACAAATAATTACTTATTAAACTGTGAACACTGTAAACGGTTTACATTAACAATATCGATTGATTTGTTATGATTTTCTCTATTAAAAATAATTTTTGCGAACTTCTCTCTTCCTTTACGAGGTGCCCAAGTACAGCTGTTGTCGAAAAACGACACGCGATAGAGATTCGATCGTCAGTCAATATAAAAATCATTAAAAAAATTAATATAAAGGTCCGTTCCTCTGTCTTGATCGGTACCGATTGATTGATTATAAACCTCTCTATTAAAAAAATAATTTTTTCGAATTTCTTTACGAGGTGTTCAAGTACTATTGACAAATAAATGGCAATTTATAATTTAAGTTACTTATAATATAAGTTACGTATTTTTATGCTTCGATTTTATAATAGTAGGATATAAATATATTTTACACGTAATTCTGTAGAATCAATTCGAAGTACATTTCATGTATAATACAATTGTACTTTTTATTGGGGTACGTTCCGAAACATGCATACAGCGCATAAGATATCGTTTTTATTCTTTGATGAATATAACGGGGACAAATGGTGCATCATATGCTTTTTGCGTATCTCAGAACACAACCCTTGGTAAAACATTCGAATCCCAGGATTCCTGGCGATGCTGCAGTGACGGCGCGGCCGAACTTGTTCGATGTCGATGCCACCGCACGCGACAAAGACAGAACTGCCATCTTGCGTCGAGAACGAGTTATCGGCACGTTTGTTACCGACAGTTTTTATGTTTGCGCAAGAACTTCGATCGTGCGACGATAGTTGCGACACGTTATTTTATAGCAACGTTGCGACTTGCGTCGTTCGGTTGATGCGAGGAGCGCTCTTGTGCTTTTCGCTCGGCCGGTGGGAGTGCTGCTGTCGTGTTATCGTCGCGACGGAGCTAATTACGGCAATTTACGTTGTCGCCAACGACAATAAAGTGAGGCACGTCGTTTCGAAAGAGAGAGAGAGAGAGAGAGAACGCACTGCGACATCCGCTTCGCGTCAGTGTTTTACTCCGCGAAGAAATTGCGGATACTGTACTTCCGCTTATCCCAGGGATCGAACCGGGTGAACCGGCATCACCGGATGCACGGAACGAGAGCGACGACAATCGAGCCGGTGTTGGGTACGTACTGGTAGCCACTGGTAGTCATTATCGGGTGCTTTCCAATTGATGACACAAGTCGACATAAGTATCGTTCTATCTTTCTTGACATTTAGAGATTGACAAAGATAGAACGACACTTGTGTCGATTTGTGTTATCAATTGGAAAACACTCATCGTTTGCGTATCGCGAAGGTTATAGTCTGCGAATTGCGCATCGACTTAGGCCGCTATAGTTGATTCTTTCTTTTTAAGACCGTTTTAAGTAATGTCTTAAGAGAGAGAGAGAGAGAGAGAGATTGCCCTTTGATTGGCTTATGACATTTTAAGATTGTACTTAAAACAGGCTCCAGATTTTTGTATCGGCCTTTAGCAACAGAATTTATATTGTTAAGTGTTTATTTTCAAAATTTCAATTTGTGTATTACGTCCAAATTAAGTCTTCGAAAAAATTAAATAAACGCGAACAATGGAAATAGATATGAAATCATGGGAAAGTTAAACGAAAACGTTGTAACTCGTCGCGCTTCCTGTTTTATTTAAATTCTTAAATAATTTGTTAGCACTTTCTGTTATTTTTTTGCTGCAGGTATGAAAAAAAAGAAAAACATTCGACGAAAATAGAGCGCTTCATCGCGCGTCGGCGATTGTGAATAATTGATTCATACAATCATGTAGTAGTCCGTAAAGCCGTAATCTCATTAACGATTGCGCGATTGCTTTTTATCCGATCACAGCAAAGACTTCGGTGATATTCTGCTCTGATTGGTTGTCGTTAATTACAATCTAATCACGCAATCACTGATGTGGTTACGGCTTTAATGTAACTGTGAATGAACTCGAAGCTGGCATAGGAAATAAAAAGATAAGCTAAAAAGGCTGAAATTTTACTTGTTTTTTTTTGTCACCGAACGTGCGGGTGTACGTTACAAGCATGTCACTGTCCGAGAATGTAAACCGGGTCGCATTGTCCAATTAACAGTGGAAAGGTGATTACAGAATAGTCCAAAAAAAGCAAAGCAAACGTTTACCTAAACTCAGTCTCGCGTTAATTTCGCACAAAACTAATTTGAAGCTTTTTTTATTAACTTTTTCACTTAACATTTTTTAAATTAATTTTTAATTATATCCAGTATTATTACCTGACATGTCTGTTTAATCGTAATCGCAGAAATGTTAATGAATTAATATTACTATATGTTGTGTGGGTAAATTAGCTATATTGATTCTACCTTACAGAGTTTCATCTTTATAGTTATAAACGAAACATTGTCGAAAGTCTAAACTAAGTACGTGTATTGTAAATTGTAAATACAGAGCTACAACAAAATAAACTGCAGGAATTAATAACCATTTCTCGTTACTTATACCTACACTTACAAGTTATAGAAAGAAAATTACTACGAAATATTACATCACGCCTATAATATTCTACATTTTGTTTTACTGACTATAACAGAATGAATAAACTGATACAATCGAGTCAGACGGACATCTTTTAAAACTTATTAAAGATATCTCTTGATTTCATCGTATACCCATAAATAGTGAATAGGGCATATTGGGTATTAAACCCGGATACTTTATACTAGACTCCATTTATTTATTACGGCACAGTTTGATATTAATGTCTGCCTGTTAACATGCATCGAATGCTGATGCATGAATTCGCATCATGCGGTATAATTATCTCGAATTTCTGCGCAAGGAATACAACATTTTCATTTATGGCGCTAATTTGCATGCATTATGATTGCGTCGCATTCGTATAGTTGTTATGTATGTACAACGTGAGGAAATTGGATATAACGCATTCATAAACCCGTATGTTAAACATGATCTATTGACTTTCATCACGTATCAAATATCGAACGAGCTGAATGAATGAAGAGTGTACGCGTCTATTAATAATGCCCCGCGCTGCCAAGTTATTATTAAGCACTAATCAAATTTACCATAATGATAGCGTGTTATTTTTGCAAAACTGGCTGCCATTCGCTTAGCGCATGTTCGAAGTCGTCCAATATAATTAGACGAAACTTGACACTCGAGTTTCTTATCAGGCATCAAAGATAATATTTCTCAGTAAATTGCAAGGCATAAAGTTATACCGAGAGTATTTCACTTTAATACAAAAATTTAGCAGCACTTTAGAACTTGGATTAAAGATCATTACAATAAGTAGTACTTTTATCTGTATTCTAATTAAAAGATATGAAAATGCATTATAAAATATAATGACAAAAATATAAATATTATACTTCAGTATTCAAGATGAATTATGTAAAGTTTCGTTATAATGCAAAGATGGGATTTGCAAATATAAGCAGATAAATAAATTTTGTAACTACATGAATCACTTTTATAACACTTCAAGTACTTATATAAAAAATTTAAATTTTTATTATTTTTTAAAATTTTATTCTTATAACAATAAAAAATAATAAATAATTAAATAGATTATAAAAATATGTTGTTCAATAAAAGTAGAATGTTAAAAACATAACTTTCGCATGTATATACCTATACAGTTTGTTGAATGTATAAAATACTCTAATGCATCCTCAACTTAAAGGGGACATCAGGATCAATATTGATCGCGTTTTTCTGGAATTAATTCCCTTCTTTTTCCGTAGATTTCAACGTGCGTCTAGCCTAATTGATTCGTGACATCATATCACGAATTGGGAAACATGTACGGCATATTACAATGGCTCGATCATGGCTAGGATGCTTGTTCGGCATTTTAGTACCATCCGTGGTTTTTTACTTGTACCTGCTGTTGAACGGTAATTGCGACATCGTTACATTGATTTTTCTTTAGCACTGAAAAGCATCAGAGAACGTTGTTTCCAGTTCCCACCGTGGAGATAGGCAAATCGAGCGTCGGAGGGAAGTGGCGATCGTTATCGGCGGGGGTGGAGAGATCGAATTTGCGGGCGGAAGATCGCTCTCCCGAACGGTCGCAGTTAAAAAACAATTTCGAGGTAAACGCTCGTAAACCTTATACTTTCATCAGTGGCCGTCGTACATACCGGCAAGTGATGTTCTACATTTTCAAGGTGAAATGCGATACGATACACGTAGCCATGGTGTGCGCCGGATACAATTCAACCTTCGCTCTCGTAACCGTGGTGAAGTCCATTCTGTTTTATCGCACGAATCCGTTGCATTTTCATTTGCTCGTCGACGAAATTGCGAGGAAAACGCTTTCGACCCTGTTCCGAACGTGGGATTTGCCACATGGTTTGTACGCTTTTACGACAGAGCACGCACTACCCCTTTGTGACGCGTACGGCAGCAGAGGAACCTAATTTTTATCCACGTCTGTGTTAACATGGCGTACAATGTATAAAAAAAATAAAAATAGAGAAAAAAGTTACCTTTCCAACGTAAATATAAAATATATTTATATTTAACTTTAAATGTGTTAAATTAAGTTAAATTTGTTAAATTTTCTAATATAGGCGTGTACTTCAAGTGTCATTAAAATTGAAATTTTTAAAAGAAGTAGAGAAAATAGTTTTTTTCATATAATATATTCTAGATACTTTTATATATATCAGATAGATGCGTGTCAAACGAAATCCCCCGCGCGAGAGATACTTTATTTATTTATTTATTTTTTACCTCTAATCGCTCGAAGGAATTATATTTTAGTAAATGTAACGTTCTACGAGGCTGAGATCTGGGTGCCAAGAGTCTCGTGGATACCGAACAAGCACTATTCGGGGGTGTATGGTCTCCTGAAGTTGATACTGCCGGATGCGATGCGAGAGGACAAAGTGCTCGTGCTGGACACGGACGTAACCATTCTGACTGACATGCATCCATTGTGGAAGATGTTCGAGAGATTCTCGGTTGGCCAGGCCCTGGGCTTGGTCGAGAACCAGAGTAATTGGTATGTGAAGGCATTGTCGTACGGCCAGCGGCCGTGGCCGGCTCTAGGCCGTGGTTTCAACACCGGTGTAATGCTGATGCACCTGCGACGTTTACGGGACAGAAAGTTCTCGAGATCCTGGGAAAGCGTGACGAAACGCGTGTTGGGACACATACCGGAGACAAGTCTGGCCGATCAGGACGTGATAAACGCGGTGATCAATGAGCAGTCGAATATCGTATACAAAATAGAATGTACCTGGAATATACAGCTGAGCGATCACACGCTAAGTGACACATGCTATCGCGACACAAATCGCATAAACGTACGTCCCGTACATTGTAGTTTCGATTGTACCGTTGTCGCGGGAATGGAAATCGATCGACTTTTGACCGAGCGCGTCCGTTTTATTTTTAGATTCTCCATTGGAATTCCCCGCGAAAGCAAGACGTTCATAATAAGCACGTTAACGAGTTTCGAAAATTGCACCGGGTCTTCCTCGAAATGGATGGCAATCTGTTGCGAAAGCGCTTGTTTGGCTGTGACAAGCACGAGAGCACACTTCCAGTGAGTTAAGAGAGAGAGAGAGAGAGAGAGAGAGAGAG